AGAAAAAGTAAAATTAACTTCGTGTTTACCTCATTACTCGGACAGTTCGTTTATCCGAAACGCACTTCGCACTAGAGGAAAATCTGCGGTGACGAGTTAACTCGTCATATCCACGCTAATTGCCATCTACGCTGACATCTTCAACATGCTACTGCAACGAACAGCAATTGTGCCCTTATTCTCTTTCGATATGAGTAAATGCGAGTGATAAAATATTTCAGGGTGCATTTTAAACGTTGCTTTTTATTATTACTCGAAATTGGTCAGAAAATAAATGTAATTACATTCGCTGAACGAAATGTTGACTGATCATTTTCCTCATTGTCATTGCGGAGTTACATCAATACTGGAATCTCTATGAATTTTGGTATTTTATAAAATACGCATCGCGTTAATAATACCGTCGAAATGTTGGACATGTTGAAAGAGAAAAAAGGGACGAGATGATACGATGATTCCCGGTATTAAATTGAAAATTCATAAACGTATGCAGATATAACTGGGATGGAAAAAAGGTTCGCCTCGGATTTCGTCATTCTCGTTATTTTCACCCTGGTGGCGAATAAACCAGCAACGGAAATTACAGACGATGGTACAGAATATCGCAATATCGCGTTCGATACTAGAACTGTCAAAGGGATCAGTCTGACTTGTTTAAGTTTTCCTATTTACTTTCCGCAAATAATGTTGACTTTTCCTCCCTCGCTTCCTTATACCTACTCTATGAATACGGAACATATGAAATACAAAGAAACGAATATAAACTTGCTCCAAGTATGGCTCTAACGTCACAGACACGTCGAAAATACCCTCGAATATTTAAACGAAACCCAACTGTACCAATAAATCTGAAAACTAAGTCTGTCACTAATGACCATGCTGTGAATGCGAGATTAAGCTCAGAGAAAAAGAAACAATGGTGATTTTAATGATCATTTATTCTTTTCTGATTTGCTCGAATTCTTTATAAAAATGAACCACATTTTGAACTCCCCTTCTTTCAAACCACTATCCCTCGTCGCAGCTAAGATGTGTAAATAACGAAGGGGAATTATTATTTCCGTAGATTATATTTACCCACGTGTCACACGTCGATAGTCCTGTCATTGGCTTCAGAAGTGGACCCGATGTGCGAAAGCCTAAAATTGCATTGGCGGTGGCTAATACACGCGCGTGCAAGAAGCATTGCGTTCGAATAGCGGTCTCTGTCGCGACCGGCCGAAAATAGTCAGGCATCAGGAGATTCGACCATAGATTCAGGCATTTCGACCACACTGGTCCGCCGTTTCTCTGTCAATGGAGAGTGCCGGGGGCACACGCGCGATCTGGGAGCATAAATTCGATGCTGAGTGGAGGGGAAAAAAGGAAGGCGAGAATGGCAGTTACGCGGACCTCGGTTTCCGTCGATTCGGGGATATTTCCTCGGCAATGGGAGAAAGGTAATTCGCCGTTCGAGAAGAAATACCCTGGCCAAAAGCCCCTCTCCCGGCCGGGACACGTAATCCTCGGACTCGAAATCCGCTCTAGGAATTTCCTTCCGACGAATTTGCCCAAAAAATCCTTGGGAAGCTCATAGCTTGGCGAGTTGGATCTCAGTCGGGTCTCGCCATTCTGCGTCCTGCCGGATTCTCGGCAATGGACGTGGACTCCAAACGATGAAATATATATCGATTTCGTTGCGTCACTTGTGCGTGGAGGCTCCAGAGCGTATTTTTAACCGAAGATCGAAAAATTATGCCGCAACCGTGTCTCTGTGGACCTCTTTTCCAGTCTCGTATCGCTGCGTAGCTCGGAGGTCTGGATTTAATCCGGTGAGCAAATTAAAGAGAAACGACTGGGGATCACGTAAAGCAACGCGAAGCCTTGGTAAATAACCAGGACTCTATGAGAAAAGCGTTGCGTGTCGGATAAAATGCGCAGTCGAACCCAGCCAGGTGAGTCTCCACCTGTGAAAGGCGTGGATAACGCAGCATGCGCCGGCTTTTCTTAGCCAATTGGCTCACGCATCAAACACCGCCATGTCTTTCGACGGTTGTCCACGTTAACCAGTAAGCTAAGTTTTCGATTCGATCGAATACCTCGAATTCCTGCCGCGAATGCCAAGAATACGCTCTCCGATTCACCCGGTTCGATCGAGCTTCATCGGGTTGGAACGAGACGGTGCTGGCTGCCGAAGACTCGTTAATTCGAGGAAGTCGAGTTGCTTTACGACTGCTTTATTTAATCGTTGCATCGGTGATTAAAATGAGATATGTTCGTGGACGAGCTGACGAGTTGCAACGAGGAAGTACTGTACAGGGTGATCTCGAAGTCGCGGCACAATGAAGTACATTTTACTTACAAGCAGTCGAAAAGAAACAATAAGTTCCGTTCTATTTAAAATTTCGTTTTTGAGAAGAATCACTTTGGAGATCCATCAAGTACCCGTGCATCAACTTCGAGTCTCGACTCGCTGTTATTTTATTTTTGCCACGTCCAAGTGATTTTCAGGGCATCCTGTATCGAGGTAAAATATTAGTTTGAAAAGTACTTAAGGTTTGATCGAGCTCGTTCGCGAATCGATTATAATTAACGACGAAAAAGGAAGATGGAATACCGTTAATCGCAGTGTCAAGAGCTAATTTCGAATTATTATATTAGTTCCACGAATTATCTTAAAATTCAACCGCCCGGTCATATAGATTGATTCGTTAGCCCGATATACGCATCAATATGCATTACCGAACAGACAATCATGCGATAAATTTCAAAGCGCGCTGTGATTCCAGCTTGTCCATTGAAGTCGAGTCTAATCTGGGATAACGAACGACACGAACCTATTAATCTGGTCGATTAACCGAAGTAACAGCTCTTCGTGTCTCAGTGTTCAGCTACTCTCGATCAGACGTCAGCCATGCTCTCACCCCGGAGGCGAGCAAGTATTTCGAGAATCGGGAATATTTCCAGCACGTGGTCGACAATGAAGCTATAATCCACGGAACAGAGGCAAACCGAAGAGTCACGCGAATTTTCGACGCGGTTGGTCGCTCCGTAGCCTGTTGTCGGGCAGCGCGAGAGAGCTTTGTTAGCAATCGAAAGTTTGCTCAGTTAATTAAGCATCCCCGCATCGACACATGCGTGGAACGTGAGTTGAATTGCAATTGAAGCTAATTTAGAATTCATGGCCGAAACGGAGCGTATAAGATCGGAGAAATAACGGCACCCTGTTAATAGGATTCAGGGTGGCCAACCTGCGAATAATTGATTAACCCGAGCCAACTGGAGTCGCCATTGCCAGGTGGTAGGATGTAAATTCGGTAATTAGCCTAACGCACACGCTCGCTATTGAGGTAATTATGAGACGATCAAGCAATTAGAGTGGGTTCGAAGGAATTACGTTTGACCCGGCTTGGATTTAATTTGTCAACGATTATCCTTGGGTAATCGGTACACCCGATGCACGGATTCAGTATGGGTTTCTGAATATAGCGCATCGTGCGTAGAACTACGACGAGAGAGGCATAAGTGCGTGCTCGCCTCTCGCAGGTGGTTCTCTGCGGAATCTGCGACCATAAATTTCTGTCTTAACGATCCACCCACCACGCAGTGGGACTCCGACATGGGCGTTCTCCGAAATGGAAACTAATAATCTGCCATTGAATCCGGAAAGACAGGGCGACGAACACGCGAGGCTGCTCGCCACGGACTGGCCGATATCGGTCATCGATTTTCCATAAATGACCGGTGTCATCGGGTACAGAAAGAAATATGTTTAGCCGGATCCGGGAGCACAGAACTTGGCCCATTTTGCGGCTGACGTACTCCACGATTTACGGAAGAAATTTTAATAAAATCCACCCGAAGTTTTTCTCGGATATTCAGCAGAGCACAAAACGGAACCCGCCAGGCTCTGCCAGGTCCTGCGATCGTCCATGATAAATCCCTCTTATTTCTCGCAACTTTCGACCTGCCGAGTTATTGACGTTACAAATAACGCGCGAAGCGTCTGCCTGCTTAAACCCATAATCGCATGGCTAATCGCGACTTCATCCCCGTCTCAGCCAACGCTTCCCTCGAGTCAGTCCTAAATTAGCCGGGAAAAAATTCCTTGATTACCTCGTGAGTCGTGTGTAGCACACGTCAGAGGTAGTTAAATTAAAAAGAACGCCTCATTCGAGCAACTTTGCCATCCAACTTTTTTGCAGCGCGTTTACCTCACCGCCAAAGGGTAATTAGATGTTGGATCTCCAGTGAGCCAGTCCGCGCTTACAGACGCTTCCTATATCGTCTCAGCGGCAAAGGAAGGCTCTAACTGCTGTCAATGGCGTGTAGAGATCACTGAATCCCATCCTGGAATTCCGCATTGCTTTTTGCCAAATAATGGCTAGCTCGTTGCAAATTACTCGTCAGTGCGGTTAATAAACCTGTCACGGAGGACACCTCATAGAGCATTGGCCCTAGATAGCGTTGATTCTTGATCAGGATTCTCAACGGAAGACCATTTGGCCACCCAGGGCGTGCGATAATGTTTACGCTAATTATAAGTACCTATAAATTTCCTCTATCCAATTCCAACCGAATAATTCGAAGCGACTATCTACTCCTTGCTATATCGAGAGGCACGGAGCTCTCGGGAACCCTGCCAGTGGTACGCTAACGAGCTTCGATCGCCTAGCCACTACGGATCTTCTTCGTTGCGAAACTTCGACATGGCCCAAGGTGACGTTTCTCCTGCTCGTAATTATACCGCTAATAAATATCGTGTACCGACCAATAGGCGTTGATTTACGAGTAGAGGCTGCGATCGGGCCCGGTCCGTCGAAGAACCCTCTTTTCAGAACGCTTTTGTCGCGCGCCCACGCGGACAAGTCAATTACCAGGAAGATCGTGTCTCCGGTTCGACGGATGGTTGGAAATATAGCGAGCACCTCGTGTTTCCTCTGTCATCCGCTCCTGCCCTGACTCGGAACATCGTTCCACGTCTGATTTCATCACACTGTTCTTTTTTTTTTCTGTTGCAGACGGGACAATTCACGGTCTTATGCCTGCTGTTCTCGATGATAGTCGTGGGTAATATCGCGGTGCTAGTCGGCCTCCTGTGGGGGAAACGGCGTAAAACGCGGATGGATTTTTTTATCAAACAGCTTGCTTTTGCTGGTAAGTCGCTCCGTTTCCGTCTCAAAAGCCTAGCACTGATACACGAGTTGACAGACAACTCCTCTGCGAGTAGCATGAAATTGCACGAGTCCTACTGATCGTGTATCTCTGCGTGTAAGCCGCAGAAAGATCCCGAGCACGGGAAAACCGAAATTAATACCACGGCCCAGTGGTTTCGTAGATTGCCGCTGTCCTCTGTCAGTGTATCTGGTTAAAGCAGATAAAAACCGACGTCTACTCGCGATCCATTTGCCCGCCATTTGCTCGCATCGGAGCAACGCATAAAGAACGTAGAGCCAAAAGCGAGACTCTCAGAGCTCGAGAACGATTCGCGTGTGAAATGCGCTCGTATGTCAAGCGCGTTGTAAAACAGGCAGTGTATTTTTGACCCGTGTAACTTTGTCGTCGAAGATTCCCAGGTCTGACACGTCCTGGGTCGGCACTTCCCATTTCTCAAACGGCTCGAGCTGTAACGTTGAAAAAGAGCCCTAGGGTATTTCTGATGCCCAAAACGCGGCGACCGAGTGTAAACACGTGGCGGGTAAAAATTGAGTTACGGGGCTGTAAAGATTTACACGCGCGTTTTATGTCATCGCGTGAACGGCGACGAAGTAGGACCTCGGCGACGTCTATCTCTGCGTAGTTACCTTAACAAACTCCGGACCAGCCGAATCGAGTCATGGACCTCTTCGAGGTCTGCCTTCGAGACCCGTGGTCGAAGCTCGGGTTCGGGGCTCTCTCGCGCGTGTAACGGTCCCGTTTCAATCTTTTCAAATCCTTCCTTTCCCTCTTTTTTCTCTCCTCTTCCCTCCTCCTGTATTATGTTTCTCGCGGCATCCGCTCGAAACGCATCCATTGTGTACGCTGAAAAGCTCGGCGTCAGTGAGTAAAGGCAAAAGACGAAGAGGCGGTCGTAACTTCAAGGTGGCCTGCGTCCGTTACTTCTGCTCGAAGCGCCTCACGACCACCATCGCGCCGGGCTATCTCGTGGAGAACAGGATGAAATCCCGTGCTTCTAGTCAACGTTTACGCAGATTGCACGGTGTTTCGTCTTTTCGCGAAATTAGGCGCCGGAAAAGCATCTAGGGACTCGCGGTTGCCATTGCAACACCTGTTTTTAATTTTCCTCGATCATGATCGATCGCGAATTTGTTCGGTAACTCGGGAAGAAGTCCAAAGAGAATCGATTAAACGTACGCACGGCACATTTATCTCCATTCTCCAATTTCATCTCCAATGTCGCGTTTCAATCGCGATGCTTTGTCGCTACATTGCGCTCGCGACGAGCGTGATTAGATCCGCGAGGAAGAAAATTGAGCATGTCGAGAACGAAAGAGAATAAATTACCGCGTGGAGCGAGACAATTGTTTACTCGCACACGCGAAACTCGTGTTCAGCCAATAATCGTTACAAGCCTATTACGAGATGGCTTAGAATGGACGCTCCGGTGAGCAAGAAGAAACTGTCTACGACAACCATTCCGAATATCAGGCTTGGAGAGCAAAAATTCGAGCGACTGGAGGGCTTAATTGGTTAAAGTAGTTGTCCAACAAGCGAGAAACCCGAGCTCGAATCTCGGTCCACTAGACCAATCGTCTGCCTTCCTTTTTCCCCGTGCGGCCAGAGTAAACAGTCAGACCCCTGAGTATTGGACTTGGTCGCACCTACTCGAGGAATTAGGGAGCTTTCCCCTTTCAAAACAAACCCATTCGCCTGGGGTCCGAATACCGGACCACCCTGTAACCAGCCTGTACCCAATCCGAGCGAATATTCCTCGCGAAAAACTCGATTCAGCCTGCTCATCCTGTCGCCCAACCTTGACTTACGAGATGCCATAACCCGCGGCATTACTTCGTTACTCGCGTTTTTCTTCGTGTCGGTGCGGCTGTATTCTTTTTACCGTTCCTCGCGAACATGCTTGTCCCTTTCATACTAGCAACAATGAAAATACCTCGGTCGGGAGCAAAAACCATCGAGAGACCATCGGTACCACGATTCCACGCGATTCCTCGTCGCGATCGTCGCGCGTCGCCCAATCGATTTCGATTTCGATACGCTTGTGAAGGTATCCGCACGTGCAAAACAGCGACCGAACGTAACCGATGACATTTTACACGACGTAAATGGTTGAACGTAAAAAGCCACTTGTTCATTCGACGACGATGCCTGCTCGGTTGCCAGTAAAAGCCATCGAGGGATGCACAAGCGTGGCTCTGTGTATCGGGAAACGGATACGACAGCCACGTTTCCCGCACAATCGCTGGAGGAAGAGAACGAAAAGGAAGAACGTGGCTGAAGCCGTTTGTATTTCGCTCCTGTTATCGTCCGAGGGTGCACATCTCGTGGAGCAATTTTATCGCGTGGGCACGAGGGTGCCTTTCGTCTTAGGATCGGTCTGGAGGGACGAAGAGGCAGAGATGAAGCTTGAAAGAAGAAAAATGAAGAGGAATCGGGAAACGTAATAAATTCGAGCATCTCTTTGCAAGGGCAATCGCGGATTAAAGGAACTCCGAGCTGGAAACTCATTCACGGACTAACCGAGTAAATGGTAAATGACTATCGACTGGTTGCGTAACGAGCCGAGCGAGGAGATTACTCGAGGAACAATGACAGTCTCGTTCTACGTGTGACATAAAAATCGGCGAGTAGAAGCTGTCGGCGAACGGTTCGTAAAGTGGGACATTTGCATACGAATACGGTGACAACGGGGACCGCAATTAAGCAGCCGATGGCGGTCTGCAGACGAAATGTGGAAACGGCCGTGCCGGTTTACGAGCGAATAACGCGATCTGCAGTAAAGGAAAAGCGGCCGATCGCTCGGACACACCGTAAAATTCAAATTCGGCCGCGATTCTTGCCTCTCTGACTATAAACTATAAACTATAAAGACGTAAAGCGCGAAATAATAAAGTTCGAATGGCGTCGGCGGTGTGATACAAGGCGAAAGTGATCGAGCGACGAGACGAGGAGAAAGATTTTACTAATCTACCGCGGCGATCTCTCGATAATCCGAGTTATTATACGGCGTGATAAGCCCGGACCGAGTTTCAATATCAGGGAAAATATACGAGTCGGATCGCGATCGTTTCGCATGGGAATTCGCAGGGTGAAATCTCACTTTCGAGGGTCTTTTTTATGGTTAACCGAATAGCACTTCCAACCTCGCAACACTCTATACGATATCCTTTAAACCGCTTCTTTATGACTCTTCTCCCGTCGCACGGAAAATCAAGGGCCATTCGTGATGCATGCGTCTCAACGTGGCATGCCCATTCGGCAGTACGTAAAACCTCGCGATGGTTTCGCTGCAATTAATGGAAAAATCTCGACGCGGTGTCGGTTTGCGAACTCGATGGAAAACAAAACGTGGTAAACAACGCCGATATTTCCGAATGCTTGTTATTCGCGTGGCAAACATTATCCTGAACGAAAACAAGTCTTCTAACTCGACAATCATTAAGTACCTGTATACTTGTTCGATTAAAAAATAAACAAAAGAAAAAAAAATCAGCATCATGTTACAGAGAATACCGTGTTTTAGCTGTCGTTGTATCGTTAATTATTTTTCGCTCTAATTTACGACTTTGTTCGATCACGTTGTATGACATGTCATGTAGCCATTTTCGGATATTTACATCAAAGGTAATAGAAGAAAAATTGGTTTGACATTTCCAATTACGTAGTAAAGGGAATATTTTGAACTTTTTCATACATGTACCCAGAATATTAGAAAAATCCTTTTGTACGCTGAATTTTGTTACACTGAGTTCTACCTGTATACGTGCATTCGAATAGGGAATTTTATTATTTGCTTTTTCGGAAACCAAAACCGATTGTTCACCGCGTACAAAATTGTTCAAAATATCGTTATTCGTTGCATACTGCAAACTGGTGAAAATCGATGTTTGGCCGGGAAGTTGAGGCAGGAGGATTAAATCGGGAAGTGGATTCGAGATGGTTGGAGTCGGTGCGAGTTTTCTTAGCTGCGGCGCGCAATTTCGCAAGTTTTAAAAGCCTCGGTCGCGGTTAATGAACGCGTCGCTTATTCCAGCGCGGAACGTTGAGTTTGCTCGTCCATTAATTCGCGAATTAAGTGAACGTCGCGGTTTAATAATAGCGTTACGATGAATCAACTCTTCACGTCGCATATCTCATTGCAGATTTATTGGTGGGTTTGATATCCGTTACCACGGATATTATTTCGAGAGCGACGGTGATCTGGCACGCGGGCGACGCAGCCTGCAAACTGATAAGGTACATGCAGATCGTCGTTACGTATAGCTCTACGTACGTACTCGTCGCATTGTCGATCGACAGATACGACGCTATCACCAGACCAATGAATTTCACCGGCAGATGTAAGTACACCAACGTTACACCGTTTATTGCACTCGATTACCCATCAGTGATCAAAGACGTACGAGCTTGACATCGTGTACTTATGACGTACCTGTGAGCTCTCGTGGAGAGAGGAACCTGGTGGAACTAGGAACCTGTAGAGTGCACCTAAATATAATATACAGTATACCAGATATACGGGAATGCGGAGAAATCCGTGAAAAGAATATAAAATAAGGTCATCCGACGAGAGAATACGGATATATTTATTTGACGAATGAGAGGAGAATTGGAATGAATTTGAATATGAAAAGCGATTTATTTGTAGCGAATATTAAATTCAGTCCTTCGTTAGATTTATTCGGAATAAGAATTCGACTCCGCATCTTATTTGCTTTCTAATATTTCTTACAGCATGAACATTTTCTTCGCAT